TGAGGATTCTATAAGTGCATGACCTTAACAGATACAACTAATAACAATTTTATTCTTATTTTTCCAATAATTTTATCTGTTAAATTTCTTTTACTTGCATTATCTCTCTGGCCAAGACCTGTTTCATAGCACTGAACAGAAGTGGTGAGCATGGTCATTTTGGGAAGACTTGAAAATTTAAATGTACATACAGGTCTCACCCCTCAAATTCTGACTCAGTAGGTTCAGGTTGGGGGCCTAGAAAATCCACATTTTATAAGTATCCCACGTGATTCTGATGTAAAGGTGTCCTAGAAACACACTTTGAGCAATATTTTTAAAGGATAACTTTTACTCATCTGAAGAATTTTCTTAATAAGAATGAAGTTTTATGCTCTTATTTTTTTCTCATCTTCTCCTCTCTGTCCTCTTCCATGTCAGTGATGGATTTATACCATCTTACTTTTTTCAAGTACTCTTCTGTACAACTTCTCTTTCCCTTGATGTATTCTCTGAAAACAATGTATGTGTAAGAATCCAGAGTTTTAAAATGATGATTGACTTTAGAAAAAGGGGGAAAATGTCTTTTTCCTAGGCCAGTAATCATATTCAAAAAGAAAAAAAATAACTACATCTGGAAGGAGTTGAGATCATTAAATTCTATCCTTTTGATATACACATTTGCATCCACACCAGCAGACATAAAATTTTAGGTGCTGTCATATGACTGGAACAATCTGTGGGGACAGAGTAGATTATAAAGGATGCAGTTACATAAAACAGACTTGGATAATAGATCACTTGTGAGAAGTGCAGATACCATGTTGTTCCCTGAATATGATCAATTACAAATTAAAGGAAAAATTATTTTCTTGGATGTACAAAGTATTCCTTGGATATTTATGAAAAGGAGTAGAGATACAAGAATAGCTACAAATGATTAGGTATTGAAACTAGGAAGAACATTTAAGATTATAGTATTGACCCTTGCATTTTCAAAAGTGAGGTACCCGAGCCCCATCCTGGCAGAGTGACTTGCAGTGTACTTGATGAGGCAGTGGTAATGTTGGGATCCCTGATTCCACCCCAGGTTCTTCCCCTGATGTCACCAAACAAATATTTTATAACATGAAGTCACGAATGTGAAAGGAATACCAGAGGATAAAGAATGTGGTCATATACAGACAAGTCCACAAATGTGAGTCCTTCATATGAGATACAAGGAAAAGGAACTGTTAGAAAGAACTAAAGAAAGATGTGAGAAAAGGGGGCAAAGTGAAAGCAAAAAAATTTTAAAAAGTTGAAAGACAGAGAAGAAATAAATTAAGGAAGCCAAGAAATGGAAGATATAATCAGAAATGAAAAAGTGATAAAAGAATTCCAAAGCATGAAGAAAGATATAGTATTATATTCTGTTGTCAAAACATATTAATCTGGAATTACAAAATAAATAACAAAATAATAAACAAATAACAAAATAATTTATAATGAAATAAAATGAAAGTGCCTTTAAACTCCTCTGAAGAGGGGTTAACCTAAAGTGGTAGCGATATTAACTTCCTAATCCTCTAAAATGTTAAATGAATGAGAATCAGAAATTCAAAGGTGTATTTCTATATATTAAGAACCATTATATCATAAAATCAAAGAAACATTGGAAAATCTAAGGCTAGTTATTCCTTCAAATGGCTTTGTCATTTTTCTAAAGACTGAATAATAAATGAAAATTCTAGTACCAGAAAATTCCAAGCATTTTGAACAAGGAAATTAGCACTGCATTGATTCAGAGTTAAGATTTATTAATTAAGATTTATTAATTCAGAATTGTTTGAGTTTATCTCCTTACTTTTTATACTTCCTAAATAACATAAACTCAAATGTTGTATTACAATTTGGTTTTACAACCTTAGTAGTCATCTAAAAATATTAACTTTCATAGTTCATTTGATAAGACAATGATCTTTCTTGTTTCCTCTTGGAATTGGGGGCATCCATTTTTGATTTATGTTTAACAAAGAATAAATGTGATATAATGATGAGGCGTATTTAAAATATTTTAAATGTCACATTTAAAATATGGATAGTACACCAAATACATATACTTAGAAAAATCAGTATACACTCATCCTTCCATATCCATGGGTTCCTATTTTAGTTATCTTTTTGTCACTGTGACCAAAATACCTGACAAGAAGAACTTAGAGGGGAGAAATTTATTTGGGCTCACAGTTTCAGAGGTTCAGTCCACAGTCATCTGACTCCATAACTCTGAGTCCAGGGTGAGGCAGCACAGCGTGGTGGAAGGGCATGACACAGGAAAGACGCTCAGGAAATGATAGCCAGGACGCAGAGAGCAAAAGTACCTACCCAGTGACCTACTACCTCTCACCACACTGTACCTATGGTTACCACCCAGTTAATCCACATCAGTGGATTAATCCACTGATTAGGTTACAGCTCTCATAATCTCATCATTTCGCCCCTTTTCATTGTCTCACACCTGAACTGGGGGGGAAACATCTCATATCTAAACCATAACAGTTCCACATCTATGAGTTGAACCAACAGTAGATCAAAAATATTGGGGAGCGGGTTACATCTGTACTGAGCATGTATAAACTTTTTGTTCTTGTCATTATAATTATAATTTGGATTTACAACCTTATTAGTCATCTAAAAATATTAACTTTCATATCTGAATTCCCTAAATGATGCAGTATAACAACTATTTATATAACACTTTCACAGTATGAGGTATTATAAGTAATCTAGAGATGAGTTAAAGCATGTGAGTGGAAGTATATAGATTCTCTGCAAATACAACACCATTTTAGATAAGGGACTTGGACACCTGAGGCTTTGGGGGGTCTTAGATTCATTAAAGAGATAGGATTTGGAATCAGGAAGACATGGATTTGATCCCCAAACTTAACTACTCATTAATTATGTAATCTACCTTTACCCCCTTTCTTTTTTCTCTCCGTCTCTTCTTCTTTTCCCTCTCTTCCTTCCTTCAGAACCACGTGCTGAACATTTACTAGGTACTAGGTTCATGTCTTAAATACATTCTTAGGGAGAACATGGAAAGTTTATAGGGAAGAAACTGAGGTGTGCCATTGGAGCACAGGTGCAGATGCAGGAAGGAGCCAGACTTGGGGCAATTCCCAGTAGACTAGAAGAAAGTATGGTAAGTAAGGATGAAAAGACAGATTAAAGTCAGGTTGATGAAGACCCCAAATGCCAGGGTGAGCACTTTCAATTAACATGCAGAGAACTGTCTAAGAATTAGAAATCAAGTGGCTAAAGGAGTTAACCCAGTACTGGAAGGATATGGGAGGGGAAATCTTTGAGAGGAACAAATTACTAAATACTTCAAAGAAACTAAGAAAGAGATGCAATGGAAAGACAGGTGCTGATGGTCTTTTAAATTAATCTTGGTTGAGAGATGAAGATGAAAAGGTGAGGGTGAAACTTGCCACTGGGAGTAAGAATTGGAGCTGGAGGGGCCAAAAATCCTATGGCAAGATTAAGCAGAAGAGCAAGGAAATAGTATGGTAGAGAAACAGCAGCAAGGTCAAGGGCAGATATATTTTTCCAAAGATGGAAGGTTACTATGCACATGTGAGGTCAAGAGACCAGTGAAGAGAGACTGAAGATTGCAAGGCAAAGGAACCCAAGATGGGGGAGAATTGACAGCTGAAGTGGGGAGGGAAGGCTTGCTGAGCCAAAGGAACATTTTTCCTCTGGGACTGAAGGGCAGGACTTCACATGGAGATTACCTTTGTACCAGGGAGGAAACCCAGGAAGGGTAGCTGAGCATTCCAAGTGAGCACTTAGATAGAAAAGTGGCAACATTGGGAAGCAAAGGGCCAAGAAACTGAAGTTTCAGAAAGATGAACATAAAGGGAGTTTTTACTCCATCAATAGGTTCAGTGGGAGCATCACAGGGGTCCAATTCACATCCCAGAAAGCCTACATGGTTCTTCTCTTGTGCTGCTGGGAGGGTGGGGCAGCAGTACCAATGTTCAAAGAATTGTAAAATCCCTTTGATCCTCACCTCTCCTTCAGAAACAGTGGCACAGGGTTGTAGAGACTACAGTTGCATCCCAGAGAGGAGCGTCTGTGCTATACGTGACCAAGTAAAGAGAAGGTTGAAGGGCAAAATGAATGGATATTTATGGACAGATAAATACAAACTAGAAGTTAGTAGCTGTGTGGGAGGACCACTCCATCCTGCCTGAGTAAGTCTAGTCCACAAACTTTACTGCCAAACTGTCCCCAAACTTGGGTACACTTTCCCTCCAGCCCACACCTGCAAGTTGTAAGGGATAGAAAAGAGTGGCTGAGGAATTTCAGATCTGGTTCTCTCTCTGTTTGAGCTCCTGGTCTGGAGCAGAGGGTACCCCTGGTCACAATGCCCTCCTCCATGACCAAGGGACCAGGGCTGGCACCGCAGGAGTGATAACAGCAAGCAGGCAGCGGCCAAAGCTGGGCCCAGAGGCCCGCATCCCGCACTAGAGGATCCTGAGGGTTAAACAGACCATAGTGGGCACTTGAAAAGCAGAGTAAGTGCGTTTGGCGGGAGAGGGCACAGTGCTGACTGGGCATCTTTGCTTTAGAGTCTTTCCTTTCGCCTTAGCCTCTCGGTGCCAACGCCTGAAACTGGGGCTGCGGGCAAGAGGCAGGGTGTGGGTCCTGACCACTGACCCCTTGCCCTGTGCTGGGAGGGGACTCAGGGGGAGCCCCCTGCGCCAGCCAGCCAGGGACAGCCAGGTCTCTGCTCCAGTCCACGGATCCTTAACGGATTTTCTTTCTCTCCCTTCACCCTTTTCTCTCCTTTGCTCTCCTTCTTTCTCTCTCCCTCTTTTTTCCTTTTCCCTCTCTTTTCCCTCCCTCCCCGTCCCCCTTCCCCTCCTCTCCCCTCCCCCCTCCCCTCCCCCCTTCCCGGTGTGGGAGCCTCTTCCTCTCCCCTCCTCCCCTTTCCGCCTGTCTCCCTCTCTCTCCTCTCCTTCTCCTCTCAGCTCGCCGGGCGACCCTGCTCCTGCCTCCCACATTAATGGCGGCATCTTCGGAGGACGATATAGACCGGCGGCCCATCAGAAGAGTCCGCTCCAAGAGCGACACTCCGTACATCGCGGAGGCCAGGATCTCCTTCAACCTAGGGGCAGGTAAGGACGCCCCCTCGCCTGCCCCGCTCTGCCACCCGGCTGGTCCCTGGCTTCCCTCCAGCCGCTGTCCCCCGGAGGCCGTGCCCTCCCCGCCCCCGCCTACCCAGCCGGGCGCTGCTCTCTGCGCTCTTTGTGTCGCCGGTGTGCGGAGGGCGTGTGCCTGTGTGTGCGCCCGCGTGAGTGTGTGTCGCAGGGGTGGGGGAGGGGTGCGTGGAGCCCTACATCCGCCCGGGAGTCACACGCGGGCTCTCCCCTTCCAGGAAGAGAAGAAAGTGTTGTCAGCGCTAACAATGACACTGGGAAGCCCGGGCTGGTGGGGACGCCGGTGCGCTGGCTGGCTGTGGGCGGAGGGGCTGGCGAGGCTCGCCGGCGGGGCTGCTGCTACCGCGTGGAACTTGTTGGTGACATTCAGACTCTGGTGATTTGGACGGGTGGATGCCACCGCTGCGGTGCTGGAGTGGGGAGAGGGGGTGGGGCTGACCGCAGGGGACAGAACCTTCTCCTGGCACCAAGCGACTGGCAGGCAACGTGGTGGTCATCATAAAAGCGTGGGCTACAGGAGGCACGTTGGGTGACTTGACGCTGTCATGGGAACTGGTGCTGCAAGTGGCCCAGGTTGAATTAGGTGGAAAGGGTAACTGGTGTGGAGGAAGGGAGAGCAGGGGGCAGGGGAGGAAGGAAGGCAGAGGTAAAGAAAGAGGGAAAGAGGGGAGGGAGGGAGGAACAGGAGGAAAAGAGAAGCCAAGAAGGGAGAGAGGGCAGCAGAAAGCAGAGCCAGAGATTCAGAGTGGAACCTGCCTCAGTTGAGTCCACTCAGGTTCCCTAATAGGAACCCCAGAGTCTGCTGCTGTGCCCAACTCGCCCCCTGAGCCAGCTGTTCATTGCTGAGAAGAAGTTATCCACCACTAACTCCTCGGTGCTGCCGCCTCTTCTGATAACTCCTAAGCCTCACCCCTAGCTGTGTCTCTTCCTCTCCAGGGTCTCCTGTTAATTCAGTGACTCCCCTGCCAAAAGAGTGGGAGCTTGTTCCTGAAGGCTCACTTTCCATATAAGTTTTGAAAAACAGGCAATACTTTTTTTTCCCCTCCCTTTAGGAAATTAGACCCTTGAAAATGGAACTGAATTAAATAGTGTGTGTGTGTGTGTGTGTGTGTGTGTGTGTTAGAGCAAAGTGAAGCTTCAAGTGATAAGTATTTTTCTCCTTGTTGAGAAGTTTGGGCAAAAGAGAACACTCTGCCTAGAAAGGAAAGATTCATTGACTAAGCAACCACATATTTGTGGTTGGAAGAATGGGGACTGCATGTGCCAAGGTAGCTCAGTTGGTTGGAGTTTGATTTTACTGTGTCGGTGATTTGTTGTTTTTTTTTAGTCATACAAATCCAGTCACTCTCTAAATGGTTGCCTCTGGCTTTGGGGATAGAGAAAAGAGGACTTCTTCAAGGAAGCTCTGATGTGTCATGCTGTGGTAGCTTGTGGTGTTCATCTCAGAGTTGGTGATCCCTTGCTTGTGTATTCCAGATTTAGCATAGGGTTATGAAGGGTGTTTTAAAGGACTGAGAAGAGCTTTTTAGGACTGAGTTTTGTTTTTCCAAACCTGGGACATGAGAAGTTATTCCATTGACCCCTTAGTGTAGGAAAAGGACTAATGCCACTAGTAAAGGTTGTTAACCTTCTACTGGCACTCTCAATAAAACAAACAATAAAACAAAGCACTCAGAATGGGTTTCAAGTTTCCACTTCTACTCATTACTTTGAGCCACTTTGCCAACAAATTAAACCCAGTGACTTGCCATCTTTTATTCTGGTTAAATTGCTCTGGAGTCCAATTAAGAGATTGGCTCAGGCAGGATTTGTCTCCCTTTGATCTGCAAATAAACAAACCAGGCAAGTATTCTGTCCCTTCTGTATGTCCCTTAAAATACCCCAAATGCAAAAATGCAAAACGTCAAGAAGATACCAATGAGAAAGAAATGCTGTGGAAGGAGGCTGGTGAAGGGGGAGGCAGGCTGGATGGCTGGTGCTGCGCACAGCGGAGCTGTCCTCTCTCGGTGGTGCTGAAGTGAAGGGGGAGGAGGCAGAGATGTGCTTGTGAGCCCGGAGGAGGGGTGCTCAGGCCTTCTCTGTGATGGGATCTCAGGGGAAATGCGGAAGATGTGACCACAGAAACTTTTTTATACCTTCCCACCCCCATTTGCCGCCTGTTTACTACGCCTCACGCCTACTGCTCCACTGCTCAAATTGGGCATTTTTTTGCTCTAATTTTGCACCGGCTGCTCACTCCTGGGGCTTTGTTTATTTTCCAGCTGGTTTCTGGTTGCTTTCCTAACAAAGTAAGATGTACTCGCAGATGTGCCTTTCCCCGCGTTTAAAAGTAATTGTAACCCCTGATTTTAAAAAGCAAGCAGCCTTGTTTATCTCCTCGAGCAGCAAGTTGTAATTAAACTATTAGCGTCATTATCAGCGTGGCTGAACAGAGAAGCCTGCATACTTCCCATAAATTACATAATTTGGGCATAACAAGAATTTGGTCTGTCTCTTAACAATTTATAAACAATGAAGCAAACATGCATTCCCCTACCCTTTCTTTCCATCTCTCATGCCCCCAAACACTCACTCACTGTTCATACTTTCCAGATAAATCCTTTATTGTTTTAAACTACTCCTGTTAAATATTTGCTTTCCCACACCCACTCTTTGTGTATAAATCCATCTTTAATATTTTAGAGGCTTAGGAATGCTTCAAGGAAATAAATATACACATATTAATTTTATTTGGCTATCCTGAAATCATCGTGGGTACAAACTAGCTTCCACCAATCTGTAAAGTTGCCAAATAAAGTGGACTGGGCATTTGGAATACAAATTAAACACTTCCGCATTCCTTCAACTACACCCTGCCCCTAATAATACTTAATATCATTTTGAAAATTACTCCAGAGATTGAAAAGGATATATCCCCTCACCTGCATTCCCAAATCAGACACCGAATAACCCCCAAATGGGGGTCTATCATCACTTTTACGAAGATGTTAATTTTAAGGTTCAGCCTAGAGTGAAAGAACAGAAAATTTCTGAATTGTGTCTTTTATTTGTCCCAAAGAGACCCTTTTCAAGGTTTTAAACTTATTTCAGCATTTAGAAGATATAAATCTTGATAGATGGTTGTTTGCTGAAGATAGTATAAATGCTAGCAAAAATTTTATCAATGTATTTGCTGAGAGTCAGATACATCAGGCTTCCTTTAAAACATTGAAAGTGCTCCCCTCCGGGATGGGGGGAGAGATTCAAATGTGTTAAAGGACATTCTGATACAGAAGAGTAATATGTTCACACTGTTAGTAGCAAGTGTTCTAATTGTGTTCGCACTTAGTGGTGAGCATCATTGACATTTAGCTTGAGAGTTCACCCTGCTTCATGAAATCATTCATTTACTACATCAAACTGGATGCAATGAAGAGTTATAGCTCCTCTGTCAGGTACTTCCCTGGGGTCCAATGTATTCTATTTATCTTTATATTGACATTATATAGAAGGTATCCAATATATAGGTGGTGATAAAACTGAAAAGTTCTCTATAATTGAGTGAATAAATGTGTTATGGTAAGGAGAAGAATTATACCCATCTAAAACTTCTTAAAGGGATCGAGGAAGAACTGCTAGTCATCCTGATGATTAGGACTGTTTAAACACAAAAATATTGGGCCCTATCGAAAAGAAGGACTTCTCAATGTTTTTCTAACTGGATACTCAATACTTTTCTAATCATCAGGAGGTTACTCTTTCCTGGCACTCCAGAATTGCTTTTGTATGGGGAGATTTTAAATGAATGCTATGGTTAACTCCAGCAAGCTTATACTCTTTATGGAGCTGGGATCTGTTTTAGTGTCACCCAGGGATAGCTGTTTTTGACTTCCAGTGGTCTCTTTCACTCTTTCAGTCCCAGAGAATGAAGGAGTTAGAATTGGTTTGTTCTGGCTACCTATAAGAATCAGGTAGATGAAGAGGAAAAAGTGGGTTTCAGGAGACCCTTTTCTATCCCTCTTGAAAAGAAAGACCTTTATCCCTTAGCCACATTTTGAAAGCCCATGATCTTGAGAAGTGGCAGCTCAGAACATAGTGTCATCACTTCGCATTGAGAACCATCCCTGGGGAAATTGTGCTGAACTGAAATTGTTTCTCCTACCTTAATTTCTTAGTAATCATCCTCCATTCCTCTTTTCCTGAAGAAGGCCAATGTATCCCTCTTAATACTTTTTTTTTGTTGCTGATTTCAGATTGAAAGGAAGATCTTTTGGGCCTGGCTTTTATTGGGTGACCTTAACACTCTTTTTAAGTGTTGCTTCTCATATTTAATAGCCAGAATTCAAGTAGCCATCCACAGTGCTGACCAGAGGTCTCTGTTGTAGGAGGCTTTCCTTCTTGTGTGCCATAGTTAAGTCAGCTAACTTAATAACCTCATTATGTCATGCATTGAAGTGGTGCTAATGAAGATCACCCACGTAATGTAAATGATGTAAACAAGGTACAGGAAAGCAAGTGATTAGCACTAGGAATAAATGGGAAATCTTTTTCCACAAGTATTTAATGTGGCTATTTATGATATTATTGTTTCCACAATGACATTTATGAGGCAACTTAAACATAAAATCTTGCCGCAGTCTGGCTGGGCATAAATCTCGAGCCACTGAAGCAGGAACAAACTTTATTTTTGAACTGCAGGAAAACACTTCACACAGCTCCCGGGGAATCCTCCTGAACGCCATGCGGCTCGTCCAGGAACCCCCAGCCTGCGATATCTCTCCCGGAAATCCCTCCTCCTGCACTTCCCCAACCAATGGGAACTCTCGGGGAATCCCTGGAAATCCCCACTAGAACTCCAAAATAGTGCCAGAACTCAAAAGTTGCGGCAGAGGCGGATAGTAATGCCTCGCCTGTCAATCAATACTGTTGGTAAAATGCCAGGGGCCATACAGACTCGGCAGTGGCTCTCAGCAAAATCT